TGGAGTAGCCCCCACCCCTTCCTACAGCTGCACAGGAACCAGGAGCCGGGCGCTCCCCTGCCCAGAGGCTGGTGGCTGCGCAGGAACCGGGGTGGTGAGTGCCCGCAGGCCACCCTCCTCCCCCACCACCGTAAATTAACTAATATACCCCGACACAGAAAAGTCTTGTATACCCTGCGGGTTATACTTGTGCGCAGGGTATACAAGATTGAGTTTAAAAAAAAAAAAAAAACTGGAAAAACTGCAGGATATATTCAGTTGCAGGGTATATCTGCTTAATCAGGTCATCAGAAGTTTTAAAAAACCAGAAACTTTTTTCTTAATCAAAAGGCTTACATTTTCTCTCAGGGGCAGACCTTCAACCTTTCAGAGCTTTCATCTTTTCAACCTTGATTTAAATTTATTGTCTGGTTGGGAAACACACACACACACACACACACACACACACGACAAAGGACAGAAGCAGTAGGGGGAAGTAACCTCACGCACATATGGAATTTACACACTAGGGATGGTAGTAATTTCTCACAAAGTATTCCTTACACCCTAACTCTAAAATATGGACCTTCAGTTGCCAAAAAGGTAGTGATATCTTTCTTCTGCTTCTGAGAGAGAAAATGAAAGTGAAAGAATTCAATCCTTATTAGAAAAAGAGGTATGGAGCACCCAAAGCTTCATGCTCCAAGGCTGCAGTCCAGCACCATTTTATTATTCTATATCTTCGGGGGGGAAAAGGTGGCCTAGAGGCTTCAAGTCAGCAAAGGCTTAAGCCAGGTGGAAGTATAGTGATGGCTCTTTAGAGGTGCTACTCACAAGGGAGGTGAAATTGTAATTAATTGGCTAATCGAATAGTTGATGCAATTTGCATCAGCTGTTCGATTAATCAATAAGGCCGCCTCCACCTTTGAAGTGTAGCAACAGAACGGAGTTTCAAAGCAGCAGCGACCATGGGCTCCATGTGGTGCTGCTGCTTTGAAATGCCACCGGGAGCCCCGACATCAAGTTCCACGCAGTGTTTCAAAGCAGCAATGCTGCATGGAGCCCAGTGTCAGCTGAGGACTCCCAGCTGGCTCTGGGCTGCACACGTTTCAAAGCGGCAGCGCTGTGTAAAGTACACTGGTAAACAAGTTGATTCCTCCCCTCCTTCTCCCCTCCACAAATTGCATAGTAAGTTGTCCTATTGTGGGATAAGCACTGTGCACATTTAAGTCAATTCTTTGACGCTGATCTCAAATTAAGCTTCAGTCCAATTGTGAAGGAAGAAAAAGTGCAATTTTTTACTTGCATTTTCTGTTTACATGTATCTCACTGATCTAGGTATATTGGAAGATAAATGCAAAGAGCACAACAAGGAAAAACAGAGTGAGATGAACAGGAATAAGTCAGTTGTCTTAATGGTTCCATTAATATTCTCAATGGTACTTTAATTGCAATTGTATGCAACATCAAACACTGTTTTAGTCTGATCCCAGGCCAGATGCGAGGAAAAATCTAAGTACATTCACTCTCAGACTGAAGTCATTATCTTACCTCCATGACAGCAGAAGATCTTCTCATCCACAATGGCTGCAATAGGAAGACAGTTAAAGCAGTCTGTGAATGTCTTCCAAAGTTTAATATTAAATCGCCGTTTGCCTGCAGGAAAAGGATATTCTATTATGGAAGGAATTGTATAGCCCACATACAACGTGCATTACCTATATCTTTAGGAAGGGTGTGAAGTCTGAAAGCTGAATTATTCAAGTTTCCTAAAACCTGTGAAGATGATTACGTTAAAGCATTTCACAGTAAGTTTACTTCAAATAAGACACACATTGAGATAGAAGATTGTTTCAAAATAATTTAAGCTTTTGACAGACTGCTTTGGGAAATTCTTGCAATGAAATAGTAATTATTTGGTTAAAGATGGCATACTTTCTACTCCTATAAAGTTTTTAAATAAGAGAACTAGAAGTTTTTGCTTACATTCATCATAGAATCCATAGATACGATTAATGCTAGCACACTCATGGTTTCCTCTTAGGAGAAAGAAGTTTTCTGGATACTTGATTTTGTAAGCCAGTAGTAAGCAGATGGTTTCCAGAGACTGCTTGCCTCTGTCTACGTAATCTCCCAGAAAAAGATAGTTGGCTTCCGGTGGGAATCCTCCATACTCAAACAATCGAAGTAAATCTGTATATTGCCCATGAATGTCACCTGAGTAAGATAAATTTAAATAAAAGATTAGTACAATATTATTAATGCTTAACTGAAATTAAGACACTGAATTAATACTTCTTTCAGAGTGTCAGTTACTAACTGAGAGGCAGTTGACGTATTCTGGCAAGACCTTTCAGATTGTCTGTTGAAAGGATAAAGACAGACAAAATTGAAGCACTCAAGTCCATGGAGAATACCCACAGGATTTCCAGAGAAATGCAGTGTCAGTTCCTGCAACATTCTAAAGGGTACAGAATCGTCCTAACTATTTAAGCGGTGCCTGGAAAAAGGAGAGACGAATTTATTTGTATAATAAATACTGAGGCAGCGTGCACCAGTGTAGGGTGCTGCAGGATGGGTTCTTCCCACTATTGTGGTGGCTGCCCCCGAGGTTCCTGGTCTCTCCCCCCTGCTAATTCTTGGGGAAGAAGGAGGGAGAAAGTGAGTAAAAGAAGCTCTTTCGTGGCTTCCCTGGGGGGTGAGGAGGCAGCCCTTTTCTTTGGAGAGCCATCGTGGTTAGAGGCGGCGTCTTGTGCCCTGGCAGGCTGTATAGCCTTAACAATATTCTCAGGTGGAGCTCTCTAGCTTTTCTCACTCTTGTCGTCCTGCTTGAACTGTACTTGTATTTGTGGGTTGTGGGCTTCCCCCAAACAGAGGGAATGGCCATCAGATACTGGTATGGGCTCTCGGCAGTCAGAACATTTCTTAAAGCCAAAGAAGGGGAAAACTGCTTTGCAATGCTCCAATTTGCAGTTCTGGGTGACCCATCATTAACAGTGGAGCACCATGGGGACATCACTTGAAGAATCAACTGATTCCTGGCTCATGCCAAGTTCTCTCTCTCTCCCACCATTGCGCTTGTGCTTTTTAAACTTAAGAGCTGCCAGGCTCTTAATACATTTAAAAGGCAGAGCCGCAGCGGAGTTAGCTCCCTCAGCTGGGGGCTAACTCTGGTGCAGCTCTGCTGTTTCCCTCCCTTATCAACTGATCAACTAGTTAATGGAAATTCCAAGATATCAAGCGTATAATAAAACAAAGTTTTACATTTTGTCTGAAATTACAGGCCCACAGTCAAGTGTTGAAAGATAACTGGACAATATTTTGCAGAAGCCATTTTGTAAGCAGGCCATAAGTCCACATTTAAAAATATGTTCAAGATGCCGGATACAAGTTTTGAGTTGAACTGTAAGTCAGATCTGAAGTCTGCCAAAATAAGAACTATTTAAAAAAAACGGAAAATTGGCATAAAGTGAATATTTATTATATGAAAGGTACTTGCTTATGCAGCCCACATAAATCCCAAACAGAGTTAATTTAGCCCTACATTTTAATCTGATTTGACAGTACAAAAATCTCATCCCATTGTAGCTCCTTATATTTGACAAATCAGTAGGTCAGATAACTAGTGTAGCTGCACATGGCTTTATTAATTTAAGACCAATTTAAAAATTTCTCTAATCTCCATACACATCAGAAACAGCTTAATGCCTACATCGTGTTCTTCTGCAAGTTATCATTACTGAAGTTTAGCTTTAGATTGGTTACCCCCATCATTTTCCCTGGGGAACACCTTCAGATAGGGTAGGTCCAAATTTTAGCTGGAAGAAGGCAGGGCGGTTTGCCTTGCCTAATGAGTCACCTATGTCAAATCAATCTAGATATAAAATATTCCTTTACATAATTTCATTTTGGCTTTTTTTTTTTTACACTCAATTTATTGTTCATACTAAGTGAAGTACAAAGGAGCAAATCAGATTAAATTTGAGTTAAGATAATGTGCAATAGGCAAAGTATTGTAACTAGCTATTTAACATGAATTTACCATTAATATTAGGATATTGGTAATCAGAAAAAAGTCATAGCACAAATTAGGAATGTTGATTAGACCGGTCATTAGAAACCAAGGGTGGCTCATGAAAGTTTATGGGAACACACACACACACACACAAGCAAGTTCAAACTATGACACTTCAGTATTAAATACTCAATTCAAGAAATTTAGGACTTTTAAAAGGCAGCATCATAGCATCCTTCATTATGTGCAGCACTTCTTCCTCATTCAGAAAGCGAACAAATTTTGGGGTATTTACTAGCTGGTGTTGGAAACTATACTGTGCTTGTACATCTATTACTGCAACACTTATTTTTAAAAATCATTACTAAATGTTGTTTTTGCAAATATCCAGCATTAACTTTATAAAGACATAAATAAGCAATTAGGTGAACTTTAAGTCTTCCATAAAGCTTGAAGAGTTCACTATGTAGAACAAAATCAAATTGCTTTAATACATCCAATTTAATTACATAAGACTAAGTTTTAAAATCTCTCTCTATATAAAAACATTTTTCCTGTGGGATGACAGTGACATCACATCACATCACTCTGGCATCCCACAGGCTCCACCCTCCTAGGCTTCTGCCCCAGACATTGTTCAGGGATGGTACGATGTGCTCCAGGGCTGTTTGCTTGTACCACTGTTATTCTTGGCGTTTACAGGCTGCTGGGCCAGAAGGGTCAAGAAAAGAGCCAGGCTCAGGAAGCGGTGACCGACATCCCTGGCTGCCCTATCCTCCACCATGTCCCAAGTGGCTGAGTATTCAGCCCAGCACCAAGCCACACCACTGAGACCTAAGCCCAGCCCCCAGACTGCCTGCCTGCCTCCCTCCCACCCACTCAGCCACATGTGGGGCTGCAGCAGCAAGCTGTGCTTCTGCAAGGCAGGCGAGGAAGCACCCAGCAACACTGACCTGAGTGGCACTGGCACTTCAGCCCTTAACCCTCCCACCTCACCTGCATGGTTGGAGCATTAGCGCTGGCTTCCCACTGTTAGGGGCGGGAGAGAAGAAGCACTCCCTGTCCTGGGCTGGGGAAACAGCAGCATGCGAGCATGCTGTCTGGAGCCTTTCCCTGCACTCCTATTGGCAAGCTCCTGCCTAACTGGAGTAGCTGGAGGCCAATCCTGGAACCCACGCAGGGTCCAAAGACAAGCAAGTGCCCTGATCACCCTCATGCCCAGACCCTGCACCCCCAGCTCATCACTCAACGCCCACCCAACCCATTTCTCTTCCCTTTCCCTGGCCAAGCACCCTGCCCCCAAGCTGCTCCTGTCCCCTACCTCCCACCCACACCTCCTCTCACACTCAGTCCCTCCTGCACCCCATCTCCTGTCCAGATCCTGCAATCCCATCCCTTTCCCACTCACTGGCAGCTTTGTCCCACACACTGAACTCATTTTTGACCCCATCCCGGACCCTACAAAATCCACTAACCCTGGAACCTCAGAACAGTTAATCTGGCCTGAGGCCTTGAACCTCGGTTCTCTCCCTCCCTGGGACTGGAGCACCAGGGAAGTGAGGTGTTTCAATTGGGGGACACATCATTGAGGGTTGGGTGGGATTAGAGAGATTTCCCCCCCTTCTCAATTGTGTGGTCCCCAACTGATTTTTCAGTGGGTCAGCGGCCCCCCAACCCAAAAAAGGTTCCCCACCCCTGCCATTGTCTTTATTAATGCTGAAACCTGTGTGTGTTGGACAGAATATTTTACTTTATTTAAAAATGAAGCCTGACCAACAAACCCCTAATTGGGGCCTACCCCGCATCTGGCTGCAGCTTCCTGACCACAGGGCCTGCCCCAGGCAAGGACCAGTCCCCATGTGACTGCAGAAAGGGCTAGTGGCAGCCCCCCTCCTGCTATGGCAATGGAGGAGAGCTGGCAAGCATAGAGAGCAGGCAAGCATAGAGAGCAGGGGGCACAGCCCCCTAGTTTCTTTTCAATTGCTTTAAATGAATGGGACTATTGCAAGAATACAATTGAACTAAATATGACAATGTATATCAGTTAAAGACTGCCTGCCTCCCTCCCACCCACTCAGCCACATGTGGGGCTGCAGCAGCAAGCTGTGCTTCTGCAAGGCAGGCGAGGAAGCACCCAGCAACACTGACCTGAGTGGCACTGGCACTTCAGCCCTTAACCCTCCCACCTCACCTGCATGGTTGGAGCATTAGCGCTGGCTTCCCACTGTTAGGGGCGGGAGAGAAGAAGCACTCCCTGTCCTGGGCTGGGGAAACAGCAGCATGCGAGCATGCTGTCTGGAGCCTTTCCCTGCACTCCTATTGGCAAGCTCCTGCCTAACTGGAGTAGCTGGAGGCCAATCCTGGAACCCACGCAGGGTCCAAAGACAAGCAAGTGCCCTGATCACCCTCATGCCCAGACCCTGCACCCCCAGCTCATCACTCAACGCCCACCCAACCCATTTCTCTTCCCTTTCCCTGGCCAAGCACCCTGCCCCCAAGCTGCTCCTGTCCCCTACCTCCCACCCACACCTCCTCTCACACTCAGTCCCTCCTGCACCCCATCTCCTGTCCAGATCCTGCAATCCCATCCCTTTCCCACTCACTGGCAGCTTTGTCCCACACACTGAACTCATTTTTGACCCCATCCCGGACCCTACAAAATCCACTAACCCTGGAACCTCAGAACAGTTAATCTGGCCTGAGGCCTTGAACCTCGGTTCTCTCCCTCCCTGGGACTGGAGCACCAGGGAAGTGAGGTGTTTCAATTGGGGGACACATCATTGAGGGTTGGGTGGGATTAGAGAGATTTCCCCCCCTTCTCAATTGTGTGGTCCCCAACTGATTTTTCAGTGGGTCAGCGGCCCCCCAACCCAAAAAAGGTTCCCCACCCCTGCCATTGTCTTTATTAATGCTGAAACCTGTGTGTGTTGGACAGAATATTTTACTTTATTTAAAAATGAAGCCTGACCAACAAACCCCTAATTGGGGCCTACCCCGCATCTGGCTGCAGCTTCCTGACCACAGGGCCTGCCCCAGGCAAGGACCAGTCCCCATGTGACTGCAGAAAGGGCTAGTGGCAGCCCCCCTCCTGCTATGGCAATGGAGGAGAGCTGGCAAGCATAGAGAGCAGGCAAGCATAGAGAGCAGGGGGCACAGCCCCCTAGTTTCTTTTCAATTGCTTTAAATGAATGGGACTATTGCAAGAATACAATTGAACTAAATATGACAATGTATATCAGTTAAAGAACTTTATATTTTGCATAGAAATTTGTTTTAAAATGTGTTATATAGAAATGTTTATGGTGTGCTTTAGTGTTACTCACTATTTACAGAAGTAATGAACTCGAAATTAGACCAACACCCAGTATAGTGGCTCTTCTCCAACTGGAGCCACACAATTAGCACTACTAACGGCTAAAATTAAGCACACTCCACCTTAAATGCTAACAGTATTTCAGAGGAAATGCTCTAACAACTGTTAATCAGTTCTTCAGTATTAAATAATCAATGTAATTTCTTAGCAAGCCAGCGAAGGCCATTTTTGCAATCCATATTGCACAAGCCCATTTGGCATGTCACTTACAGGTCAAAACAACCACAAAATCATCTTCAATTTATTAGGTTTCCTCCTTTTACAGTAAAAGGCCAATTCTGATACACGCACTTGATACAAAAGACAACATACAAATTTACATACCACAAATTTTCAGGGGTGCCTCTAGTTCCAGGAGAATAGGCTGGCTAAGAAAGATTTCTCGTGATTTTATACACAAACCCCGAACTTCTGCTTCTGACATCTGCACGATCTTGCCAGGACGACATCCTCGCACTGAAACAAAATAATTTTTTCCACATAAATATCACCAAAGCACACTTTCACTTAGGACCGCATTGTGGACATCAAGCTGCCACGACTGGCCTTTTAGCCACACATTTATACTTCTTTTATCCGTATGGCATAATACACGAATGTATTCTAGACTACTGTTGTGGGATGAACATGAGAATCTGGAGTTTACAGACATCTTTACTGCATCAAGTACTTGCACAATTTAGTTTGCATTTTAACCTTGATCTGAAAAATTGTGTTCTAGGACGGTCTGTGTTAAAGCAATGTTATAGAAGCTTCTCTAATTAAGCTTTCAAAAGAGGCTTAAGACTGGCCTTTAAAAAAGTTTAAAGTATCACACAAATATGTCTGACTAGTCTCCACTTCCTATTGAAGAGCTAGTTTATTTCCTGCTTTTATGAAAGAATATCTACCGGGGAGTCTAATACTTAATTTCTTTATTTTACACACCAAGGGTCCTTGTATCTCTTCATTCTCCCTTGGTTGCCACCCTCTCATTTCTTTCTATTGAAGGGAGTCCCTGCAACTCCTGTGTTTTGTCCCTTATGCCTTGAGGCTCATGACCCCCATTCTCCCTCCCACCCATGACCCAACCAAGGTCTTGCTATTTTGCACCCCCATTCCAGCAGTTGTGTGGATAGCACCAGTCCCTTTCCCATACCTATATCCCTAAATCTCCTGCCCCTTTAAGGTTTATGTACTCCATACCAAGATCTCACATACAGTGTCTCTTCTCCCCGAGAGAGAATTCAAGACGGCAATATATTAAACTGTTGCATGAATGGGCGCAAGTGAGATGGTGAAATGCAATAATGAATTCCATCAACCAGTTTTGATATATAGATAACTGCATAGGAGCTTGAAGCTGTGGCTTTACTTAACCAAAAAGATGCTTGTATCCCCTGTTTCTCCCTCTTTTGGGGTCTTGATTTCCCCAGCATTCAATAGGTTCTATCCACTGGATGTCTTGGTCTTGCAAGCTCAGCCAACTAACCGAACAGATTACAGAGTTTTCCACAAGTTAGCTAGAGAAGGGATATTTCATCCTATTTTTCAAAAGCAAGATCCAGGAACTAGAAGAAACTGACAGGCTTTCTAATAATATTGGATGAGAGAATAGTCAATGGTAGATCAAAACTGCATGCAAGCAAAGCTAAAGAATTTTCCTATAGTGGATGAAGAACGGAGTATACAAAGATAGGATCTGAAAACCCCTTAGTATCTGGTGGTCAATACTGATGAGACTGTTTAAGTGAAATCAAAGAGGCTGGAAGAGACAGAGATAAAGATTTCCAACAGCTCCGGGAGGAAAGGGGGATGAAAGACTATCACTTCTTGACAGGGATAGTGGAAGATAAATGCCAGCTTTCTGAGGGTATGTCTCCATTGCAGTTTGTCCAGGCTTCCTGTTAATCTCTGCCCCAGGTTCAGAAGGACTTTAAGATGAGGATATAGATTAGAACCCAGCTCCATTTTAACCATTCCAGGAAACCACCACTCACTTTGCAATGAAGCCAAGGCGGGGGAGGCAGGGAGAGATCAAAACCAAACCTTGAATGCTATAGTAGTCCTCCAGTGCCTTTAAGTCGCCCTGAAAGTCTAGGAAAGAATCCCAGAGCAGTGGTTCAAGTGTTTTGGCCTGTGGCCCACCTCACTCAATGCAGTCCACCAGCTAACCACCCATGATATCAAATTGCCTTCACTTATCCCTAAATAACCTTAACTACAAAATTATTCATATTAGGCTACTAAAGCATAAAAAATTAACTATGTAGCTAAGGGGGCATATAACTGGTAAGAAAGGAAATATTAATCAAAGTAAAATTAAACAGATTAATTGCTTTATATCATGTTAGTGTCTCAAACTTAGTTTTAAATAAAGATATTAATTATGTCCAAAACAAAATATTTCAATGTTGTCTATTTTATGGTAGGGTTTGGTAGCCTTTTTTGGGTTGGGGAGCAATGTGCCACAGAAAAATAAGACAGGAGGCAACCCCTACACCAACCCACACAACTGTGGCCCTCAACTGAGACCTCATTCCCCTGGGGCTCCAGTCCCAGGGAGAAGGTGAGGCTTAGAGAGGACCGAGAATCAGGGCTTCCCACAAGCTAGATCTTCTGGGGTCCTGGTGTTAGTAGATATTGTGAACCATCTGAGGCTCTAGGTGGGGCCAAAAATGAGAGGTTCAATGTGTGGGAGGGGGCTGCCAGAGAGAGTGGGATGGAGGAGAAAGAGGGGGTGAGGCATTTGGATAGGAGGTAGGGCACTGCAGCAGGGGCTGCTGACCCAGGCACTGCCTCTCGCTGCTCCTATCAGCTGCAATTCCAGCCAAGGGGAGCAGTGAGGAAAGTCCACATGCTGCCATTCCCCCAGCTGGAGGGAGGGGAGATAGCAGCACATGGAGTCACTTGCACCACCCTGTAAGCTGGATCTGGTGGCAAGGCTCAGGGCTTTCTCCCCCGCAACTCCCACAGCCCAAGAGAAGCTTAAGCACTTAAACTTATATGCGACTAACACACAAGCAGTCTTGCGGAAGTCAACAAAATTATGCATGTGAATAAAGTTAAGCATGTACATCAGTGTTTGCATCATAAGGAACAAAAAAATGTGTTAAAAGATTGTATGCTAAAGTTTGTGCCACTTAATTGTTTCAGTGTTAACAAGAGGGTGGACTTTCAATTCATAAACAGAAGTTCATTAATTTTATTCACTGGTTAAAAATGTTTTCAAAAACAGAACCTAAAATTAGGCTTAAACCACATAGCACTTAACCAGGATATTTTCAAAAGCACCTAAAATTATTAAAAAGCACAAGACACATTGACTTAAAACTGAAAACCCTGATCAGTTACAGCTTTGGAAGGCAGCACAGACTAGAAACCCAACAAAAGGGAATTTGTTTAGTAATTGTGTTTGTTCTGTTCTTGCACTATGGATAAGAACAAGGTTCTGGATGATCATCTGTTTTGGGGTTTTATTAAGCATGAAACTTAATTAAAAAATAGTGCATAAAATCTGAAATTCCATAATCAAGAAACTTGTACAAATACCACTTTTGCAACTGAAAACTTTTATAAAGAACTAGCAACTTGTAAACAAAAAATGAATTACGTTTTCATAACATTGACAAACTGATATTTTGCAACAAATCATTTTTATCCACTTTGTGTAACTTCAGGCATATTTCAGATTTACCTATAAAAGAGACAATGAACACTCTCTTGATAGAATGGAAACAAGCTTACGGTCTTGGCTACGCATGGAATTTCCCCTGAATAACACCACATATGGATAAGTTCATTCTGGAGAAATCATGCCTTATTCCAAAGGAGGTTAAATTAAAGAAGAAATATGGCATGTTTACTCCAGAATAAGAATGTGTCCACTCATTGAATTAATCAGGAAAAACTGTGCAGACAATCCCTGAGTCACCCATATGTTTTATTCTATTAAAAAAATATTTTAACCACCAGAGCTGGGTTCTCCCTCCTCTTATTTTCAATTGTAAGTCAAGAGTTCAGCATAGTAGTTCCAAAAGTTGCTTCAAATCCCAAAATCAAATCAAAAGCTCTTTTTTTGAAAGAGGAAATCACTTGGGGTGGGCAATCATTTTTGCTAGGGGACCACTCCAAAAATTTAGTAAATGAACAAGGGCCACATTCTTCCATAATATTATTAGAGGTGGTGCAGGATCTGGGATGGAGATTGTGAGCAGGAGGGAGCTCAGAGTAAGGAAATGGGGTACAAAGACGAGGTGTGGGGTCTGGGAGAGTTTAGGTGAAGGAGGGAGTTGTGACCTGGGGCATATGATTGGGTACAGAAAGGAGTATATACAGGGCTGGCCGCACTGTGGCGAGCCCTGCTCGCAAGCCGTGCTGTCCAGCGATCTGCGCATGCGCAAATCATCGGAACCCAGCTCTTCCGGGTTACCATCTACTCGCCATGGGCGAGTAGATTGTATAATCTGTTGAGCCCTGAGTATACGTACAGGAGAAGATTCTGACTTGGTGGAGGGATACAGGAGGGGGTGCAAGGGTTTGGGTTGAGACCTAGGATAGGGAATTGGGATACAGGGGCTGGGAGGGGTTATGGGTGCAGGAGGGAGTGCAGAAGGAAGTGCAGAAGCTTGGGGAGCAAAGGCTGAGCTGCCAAGTGTGGGCTCTTGATAGAAGGCGCTTATTCTAGACAGTTCCCAGCCAGCAGCATAATGGGAGCCTCAGGCAAGGCTGCCTGTCTAAATCCCTAGGTCACTCAAAGCAGCTGACTTTGGGGGCCATGTATGTTTGTGTGCTGCAAGACTCCCAGCCAATCGGAGCTGCAAGATTGTGCAGAGGGCAGTGGCAGCATGCAAAGCCACACTCATCCTTCCAAGAGCTTGCAGCATACAGAGACAGTCACAGCCCTCACAGCTGGCTGCTTTGAGGGCACAAAGGCACAGAAGGAAGGAAGCCTGCCTGAGGCTCCTGCTGGGATGTGAGTATGGCATTCCAGATTCAGTGAGTCAGATCTGGCCTGCAGGCCATATTTTGCCCACCCCCATTGTAAGTAATGTAACTGATTCCAAACTGATCAATTTGAATCAGGTGCACAAACCAATTGTGTAGGCTCACATGGATAGTTACACCTAGGCTTTGTCTACACTGCAGGGATTTTGCGCACGCAGCTTTTTGCGGAAGAGATCTTCTGTAAAAGCATCTTGTGCAAAAGTGTGTCCACACCTCAAAAGCACATCGCAAAAGCAATGTGCTTTTGTGCAAGAAAGCATCCACAATGCATTAACAGAATGGCCATCAGAACACCTGTGCTTTCTCTGATGGGTTCCTTGTGCAAGAAATCCTTTCGGCGCATCCATACATGCCTTTTTGCACAAGAGTTGTAGAGCAAAAAGGAGTTATTCTGCGTGAGGAGAGGAATAACTACCAGCAAAAGCTCTGTCCTGTTGATTTACTGTATTTTTGTGTGTGCAAAAACACGCTTGAGGTGTGGACGCTCCAAG